CTCCCCCCTGTACGCACCCACAGTTACATTCACACGTGTGCAGGCCGCTAATATAAATGGCTCCGACTCACGCTAGAGTAGACACGTGCACGTGCCAACAACGCATCATGTGTTGAGCAGACTGGTCGCATGCAATCGGCCAAGTGGATAATGATTCACGACGCAAGTGCAATGAATGGTTTTCGGGAATAGATAAGTTCGTTGTGGAAGAAAAATGAGCGAAGCCACGTCTGCGGAGGCTGTTCATCATGGATGCAACCTCGTTGAATCCGAGCTTGCTGATTTAAGTGTTCGTTGAATCTGGGTTATTTTTGTTGATTTTAAAGAACAAAAAAAAAAAACGGGGAACCCATCTCCCCTTGTTGAATCCGAGTTCTACTGTATGAAAGAAGGCCACTGATTGGTCGCATGCAATCGGCACATGAAATATTTTTTAACGGTTCAAGATGCAGACGTAATACATGTAGATGGTTTCCAAGAAAAGATAACGTTCGTTGAGGGAGAAAAATACGCTGAAGCTATGTCTGTGGGGGCTGTTCACCCTGGAAGCGACCTCGTTGAATCCGAGTTTGCTGTTAAGTGTTCGTTGTAGCTTTTTTGGGGGGTGGGTAAGTGTTTTATGGTGCATGCAACTGCATAAAGTCATATGAACGCGCGGGACACATTACACTTTTTCAGTTGGTAGGAAATTTTGAATTTTTCCCAGGTGGCGACCGAAGCCTAATTATCGACTTTAGACTACCAATGGATCTTTAACGTGTGCAACTTGCACACGGGCCCTCCGAGACTTTTCGCCCTTGGCTGAGAAGGCTAGGTGTAGATCTTTCCTTCCAGGAGATCAGGGGTGTGGCTGAAAGACAGCAGTAAGAAGAGCCAAGCAGAAGCAGTGGAAAGGCAGCAGAAAAAGTCAGGAGCCCAGAGGAGGGGGGAGAAAAAGGAGACGAAAGCAGACGACAGAACATTGTTAGAGAGCATGAAAGGGGGTGAAAGGATATTTACAGAGAACAACATGTTTTGGTCGCTACCTGGATTCGAACACGGGACCAATGAATGAGAGGCCAACACCTTAACCTCTAGGCCGCGAGAGCCCCCGGTGTTCGTTGAATACGGTTATTTTTTACTGATTTTAAAAAGAAGAAAAAAACAGGGAAGCCATCTCTTTCCTTGATTGAATCCGAGCTCGTTGGATCCGAGTTCCATAGTATGAGCCCGTTCCAACGGCCCTTCAAAAATGAAATTCTTCTTCTTGTACAGTCCATGCCGGCTTTAAGCACGGTCATCGGGAGAAAGCTTAAGCGTGCTTAAAGCTTAAGCGTGCTTAAAGCCGAAGCGTGTTTAAGTGCAAAGTAGACATAATCCAGAGATTTTCATGTAGAAAATTCCCCGTGCTATTTCCCTTTGTTTGTAAGTAGGCCCATAGCGGTCCCGCAAAAGTGTGCTGTTATTTAGACACCCGCTATGGTAGTTTTTGTTCCCTTGTTTGTTTTTGTTTTGTGGTCGAATGGGAAATGAAAACTTAATTCAGACGGCCAGTCACGATACAGCACACTAGGCCTACTGTAACACACTGCCTGTGCGTACCACTGCCCGCTGTGCCACTCATACCACCGCCTTCATCCCACCTCGCGCGTGATACACAATCAGGATTA